CTAAAATTTACCCAGAAAATCTCTCTTTACAATCTCCTCATTCCCTCCTTTACCCTCTGCCACACTACATCCCTATAAATTAGTCAGAGGTAGATATTATTTCTGCTTTTTAATAAGTACCCCAGTATATTTCAGCGAAGAAAGCTCCACGTGTCCTGAGAGCTACCCTACGATCCTATTCACTTCAGAACTACCGGGGAATGGCTGACTAAGATGCTAACAACACTGGCTCATTTTCAGAGTAAAACATGACCGAAGTCAATTATTTCCACTTTTTTAAAGGAATTTCTACCATTCTCATTCTGGTTTTGCAATAAATTCTAAAAAGGAATAAAATACTGTGAAGATTTCTTGTTAATGCCATTTGGTAAGCAGATAATCATCATTTTAAAATAAAGGTACAATAGCATTTGGGGCATGTCCAGATCTGTCATTAAAGATGTCAAGCGGACTGAAAAGTTGGTACTTTCATAAGGCAGATAATCCCCGGAACCTGGAGGATAAATAAGCAACACCTCTAACCACATAGTGAAGAATGCAGAATAGGTCACATTCCAATAAATGTGCAGTACTTTACATTCCTCTAAAACTGGAGAGAAAAAAGGATTTCAGCTTTCTCCTTGGCCAGTATGGTGGCTGCAATATATTTTTCAGCAGGTAATCAAAGCCCCCATTTTGTGCACTGCGCAGATTTTCACCACTAAAATAGATTATATAGTCATACTAAATTGACAACAAGATTCAAATGAATGTTCTGATATAAGTGAACAGATACATCATTATGATACAACAGAGAATATGTTTCTTAATGTCTGCATTTATTAAGAAAGTTTTCATTCTCTGGGTGGAAAGATAGCTGTGAAGTCTGACCTTGGAAAGACAAAATTTTAATGAACGGTAGACGCAATGGAAGCATCGCATGATACCCTGTCCTTTTTATTGCTATGTAGATTAGAGTATTTAATAATATTTGTTTTCACTTAATCTCAGGTCTTCTCTAGGTCAAATAGAAGCTCATCAAAGCTCTGTTTCTTAAAGATGCCTGATAATTCTAGTCAAATATAAAGCTTTAAATTCTAGTAATAAAAATGTGAAAGGATTCCTAAAAGCAAATAAAGCACCACATTCTTCTATTCTCAAATTAATTTAGCACAATTTTATCACATTTGAGCCTCTTTGAAGATATTAAAAGAAAAAAAAACAAGTAGAATTGCTCAGTCAGAGGTTATAAGTAATTTTATCCCATTTGATAGATTCAAGTACCTACTTGGGAAATGTTTTACTTCATCAATAACTAAAACTAAAACAAGGCTGATTATTGGCTTGCCATCAATATGATTGGCCAAATTAGCCAAAAGCAAACACAATACAATATAGTACAAAACAAAAAAGTCTAAGTATGTCTTGTTAAATATTTTTCTTTGATTCCTTTTTATTCTTTTGCTTCTCTGAAAATTTTGTTGCACTTACCAATTCTTAAATACATCGCCTAGTACCCCTCATTTAGAATATTGCTATCTATTCTAAAGAAATACTATTTAACTTCTGGTAATTTTAAAAGATTGATGTGACTCTTTTCATTCTCTCTTTTAGTGGATTCTCCTATATATTGGACAATGTCTGCTTCTTTGTTTTGGAAAATTCAGTCTAGCTCTTGCTACTCTAGCCTTTGAAAATAGTATGGATTAAAGTTGGGGCAACAGATGATAAATTTAGAAAGAGGGAAACAGTAAGTTCTTACTGTTCCGTCATGAGTGGATGGAATAAATGACAATTTCATTATAAGCTTGATTTCATTATTGCCTGTCTCACTAGTTTTCACAATGCTGACTCTTCTCCTAAACAAGAAGTAAATAACAGTCATGTGAACAGGTAAAAATAAATTTTTATTTGTTAATATAAACTTTTCAGTTGGTACTTTAAAAGTTGATAATATTGTAACTTTAATCTATAAACCTAAGCTAAAACTATGGGTTCAATACTTCTTAGAATCTTTATTACTATGTATTTTTCCAATGCAAAGCTTGGAGAACCTAATACCTTTGGCAAAATTATCATGTTTAAAACCTTATATCTGAGGGTTGGGATTTAGCTCAGTGGCATCATGCCTGCCTCATGAGCACAAGGTCCTGAGTTCAATCTCTGGTACCAAAGGGGGGGGTACCTGAAAGTAGGTTCTAAAAAGCAAAATATAAGACTAATAATTTTAGAATCAAAAGATGGAGAAAATAATTTTCTACATCTGCACTTGAAATTAATACTCTATCTTATTTTCCTCCCAATATAAAATAGAAAATTTTACAGAAAGATTCAAACTAGCAGGACTAGATAATTTATAAAATGTACAGTTCATGGGGAAGTGGAAAGAGTCTTTCAGTAGCAAAGATGAGAATAGTTGGGCACTAGTCTCAGCTTTGCTACAAACTCCATAGATGTCTTCAAATAAGTTACTATCTCTCTTTGGGCATCAGTTTCCTCAACTGCAAACTAAGAATGCTCCTAACTTCAGTATTTCTGTAATATAAACAAATCTAGAAATCCTCTAGCTAGAATAAGTAAACAAAAATGTTAGGGGCATCAATTTAAAGATTTGTCCCATTGGTTTGTTTAGAAAAAAATCACTAGGCAGCTGGTATAACCATCCTTAGAGAAAAAATTAAAAAGGGTTTTTGTTTAAAGTTTCTCTCAACATAAAGATAATTTTTCAGAACCAGCATTATCTATTGATGGCAAATGTCCTTTCACTCTCTAACAAGCCTCTTGCACACAGTGTCATACCATTTAATTCCACTGCCTTCTGTAAGAACTCAAAGATTGATTTGGGAAGTTACAAATAACTAAATTAAATTACTTTGGCTTATACCTTGTCTGCCTTGCTATTTATTACTTTTTTCAGTTTCTATGATAATAGTTGCCTAGCTGATATTTTCAAGTCACTAAATGAAGAATTAACAAGTGTTTCATTTCTACATGAAATTATTTTTTAAAAGCAAACTAAGTTCCAAATGTATGTAACCATGCATTATGTGCTTACTTAGGTATATGTGTGTAGTGATGTAAGATCTTTCAGTATTATTTATATGTAAAATCAGAATCTTCTTTTGCATAAATAAGGAGATACTAGAAGATAAAAAACTAATGGAAGATAATGATTTATTTATCTTGGGACATATAGAATATTCCTTGCCCACAAAATGAATTTACTAGTATAATACTATAAAAATTTGATAGTTTCTTACAAAAGAAAATAAGTTCCTGGGTTAAAATGACCTAGAGTGATAATCATCACCCCCCACAGGTTCTAAAATATATGTTCTTGCTATGAATGACTTGTTTATGGGCCCCACAAACTTATATATGTAATGTGGTACGTTTCATCCTATGCATGTTGAAGGTTCTTGGAAAGATACACTATCCCAAAAAGGTAGTGTCCAAATGAGAAATCTTAACCTTAGCATTAGAATTCATTAGCCTGAGTCACACAAATAGTCCATGAAATTGATAGCACCAGAACCCAAATTCCTAAAATTATCATGCTAGTGTTCACACGAATGCTAATTCCAGACAAATAGATTTTGTTTCTTAAGCTTGCATTGTTTTGTGAACAGATGTTGCTGCTTTATTTGCGCCGAAGGTATGGTGAGCTTCTAAGGTCTTCAAGGACATCATTTCAATTTTAATAATCATTGCTCCTAAAATGAGTCACTTAAGAATTTTAAGACAAGAGTTATCTTCATGAAATCTCTCAAAGCAATGCAAAGCTCTCTAATAATTATGCGATGAAAATTTAATTTCATTCCTATTCATAGCAACAAAAATTAACTAAGTTTAACATTAAACATTTGAACATCTACTAGAATTTAGAATTGGCAAGGACATTCATCTAGCATAGCAGACCTGCTCTGAGATAACAGCTTACTGAAATTAGATGCTTTGATATAATTGCATAAATAAATTAAAATCACTACAATGTCAGTATTGCACATTAAGCCTGGATAATTCGTTTCTTTTCACTATTTCTGCTGTTTTTTCAAGACAATTTTTTTTGGGGGGGTACCAGATTAAACTCGGGTCCTTGCAATTGAAAGGCAGGTGCAGTGCCACTGAGCTAAATCCCCAGCCCTGAAGACAATTCTTTTTAATCTAGAAAGTATAATCAAGATGAGCTGGCTATTAAATATACTTAAATCTGTAGGAGCATTGCACATTTCCCATCATTTTTTATGACTCTTTCCACTGAAGGCAGAAGAAAGAATTCCAAGGAAAAGAAGAAATACTGACAAGCAAATATGCTAAGGTCATTCAAAGCCTGATGATTTAGCATGCTTGATTGTTATATGTGAGTCAAACAGAAAATGACAGTAACATTTACCATGTTATATTATACACAACATTTTAACGAAGGCAAGGCAAATCAGACTACTGTTTCAGCAATACATTTGATAGCAATTCATAGATGTATACTAAACAATATAAATAAATTGAATTAATGCCTTAATTCTTAATTTAGAAAAGTGGATTATTTTCCTCTCTGAGCAAAGAATATCATAGTCAAGGACCTTAACCTCATATGATCACACAGCATAAGCCTAAGAGTACTATAAAAATATTATTTGTTCTAAGTTTAATTTGAATAATCAGTGAAGTATTTCTGCTTTTGTTGAAAATAAAATAGCAGGTGCCTGTTCAGGAATGTGACTATACTTTCAATATCTCCATTGTAAGCTCATGTGTGACCAAGGAGAGAGAGCTTATATTTCAATGCCTGCTGCCAGATATGTTGCTCTTTGGTGCAGATTAAAAAGTGCAAATTACAAGAAACACTTTAAGTACTTCAATACTAAGACAATTATACCTTGGGGAAAAAAAAAAAAAAAAAAAAAAAAAATGCTAAAAAAGGAAATAAGTCATTGGCAGCCAACAACCTGTTTATAAATGATATATAAATATAAATATTACTTTATAATTTATAGTAATATTTTCATTACTATGCAATAGTAATAGGTTAAATAAATTGGAGAGGAAAAAGACTTATAAGATCACTGTATCTAACGCATGTTAGGGGAGTGCAGATTTTCCTAGACAGACAAAAGAAAAAGAAAGAAAGGAAAGAGAGAGAGAGAGAGAGAGAGAGAGAGAGACAGATAAAGGGAGAAGATACTATATCAATACCTGCAGAAGTTTTGATCAGTATATAATCTAGAGATATCAAGTGGAGGTATAAGCAACAGTAGTAAGGAAGATTAGATATCAATACATAGTACCCGTACCAATACAGAGTTGTGTGTTGCATTTTTAAACACAAATATATTTGCCAGGAGCACTTCCAAATTAAAGCTACTGTGTATAAACAATGTAGAAGATATAATATGAGTTTTAGTGAATTTTTAATTTTGTTCAACCATAAGCAATTTAGAGAGGACCACAGCTATCATCTTCAGAGTAGACTAGTTCAGCTCCTCATGAGGGAGTTCTTGAATCTGCCATAAAAATCAAGTGTGCATCTAATCATGGTCTTCTCATTTGATCATCAAAAAATGAATCACCACATCAAATATTCTTCAAGGCCTCTTTGGTTTCCAGATTAAACATGCAATGTGACCTGTCATCTTACGATATTCTCTGCGTTTTCATTTTAAATAATCATAAATAAGAAAACCAACTGTTTGATTCAGCTGAGTCCTCAGTCTTAAAAATTGCACTCATTCTTTCTTTAAAGTCTTGGTTCAATCAGCATTTTTCAGCTGAAAGATTCTTTATTGTATTCAAATTTCGTCCCAAATGAGTTATTCTGGTTACTCAGTTTATGAAGGGTCTTGGAAATTGAGTTGGGTCCACAGCAGAAAACACCAACTGTTTTCCTGGAAAGAGAAAAAAAACAAAAACAAAAAAACAAGAAGTGAAAAATCAGCAGGAAAACTAGGTAGAACGTAACAGATTGGAAGACACAAAAACAAATGCAGATGTACTCAGCTACCTCATCTTTGACAAAGGAGCTGACCATCCTCAGTGGAGGAAAGATAGCCTCTTTAATAAATGGTGTTGGAAAAACTGGATGTCAACCTGCCACAGATTAAAATTAGACCCTTATCTTTCGCCATGCACTAAATTAAAATCCAAATGGATTAAAGATCTAAATATTAAAACAGAAACATTAAACTTGCTGA